AGCTGCAATGTGGTTCGTGCCTGTCATCCCAGCACTCGGGAGGCTGAGAAAGGAGGGTCAGCATGAGCTTTAGGCCAGTCCTCACTCTTCGCGAGGAGTTCAAGGCCGTTCTAAAAACCTAAAACAAACAAAAAACCTGTGAAGAGATTGGAAAGAACAGAGGAACTGGAAAAAGTTATAAGGGCATGAAAAACTAGGAAGGGAAATGGTGACAGATCAGGAGGGGCTGGAGAAGGCTGAATGTGGCTAACTCGGGGTGGAGCACAAGGTGAGCATAGGGCCACAAGCGGGCAATAAGGGGGCCCACAGGGGCCCACAGGGGGCCACAAGGGCAAAGAACTATGGAAGCCAGATGGTCTAGGACTAGCCTTGCAGGGGTGAAGACTGGAGAAACTGCAAGAGTCATAGAGAATGAGAGGGGGAAAAGAGCACACAGGCTCAGGGCAGAGAGCCTCTGCTCCCCAGCTCTATCACTGTTCAGCCATCTGTCTCAGGTTCCTCAACTTTAGGATAAAGATAATAATGCCTGACTCGTGGGGTTCTTATAAGGATTTGTGTATTTGGTACAGGGTCTCACTGCACAGCTCCGACTTGTAGTGATCCTTCTGTCTCAGCCTCCCCAGCACTGGGATTACAAGCACGTACCACAATGTCTCGATTCAGTGGCCGCTCAGCATGCCAGGCACGGCCTGTGATGCTGGGGATTGAACCCTGGTCCCTGCACTTGCCTAAGCAGGCACTTAGTCCGCTGTGCTATCTCACTGGTCCTTTGTTATAAGGATTTGAATGATTTAGTTCATTCTGGAAACTTAGTATACCATTGGCATCCAATAAGTGCTCAACAGGTGTTATTATGAGCAACTCCTCAAGTCAAAGAGGAGAGGAAGGCATAATGAAAATTTCATCTTCCATCAAATATCACATTCTATGCCCTTAGTAAAGAGTTGTTCTCTTGAGAGTGAGGATGTGCAAGGGAAAGGAACAAATCCAACCTGCTCTGATGACTGGCCCAACGTGGAGCCTTCTTCGCCACTCAGAATGAAAAATGAAAGCCCTTCATCCAATAGGACTTCTGTCTGGGGGTTAAATAACAGTAGGTCAGTATTAGTGATTGAAGAAACACTTTCTCCTTACAAGTGGAGAAATCCTTTCCTCTAATATGGTTAACCATTATTTTAAAAGAGGAAGAAGAGGACCAAGTTATTTTTATCAAGTTATATTTAGCTTTGAGTTTGTTTAGTTTGTGAGATTTTTAAAATTCTCTTAGCATTTTAGTAACTGCAATCTAAACCAGAATAAGGAAAAGCCAAAATCTCCATCGTCCCAAATTATTTCCTCACTTTAATCTGAGAATTAGGAGTATCACCTAACAATTAGAACAAAGTGCTGGCTCAGGTCAGATTTTTGTCTGTCTCTCTTTTCAAGTGTTCTCATGTATACAAGTTTCCACATGCAGATGCAAGTACCATCTCATCTCACAATCTTTGATGGAATTATGGGTAATTAAGTATCTTAAACATGGCATAGTCTTAGTTATAGACTCACTGATAAATAAAACTTTATGTTTTCCATCTTGTGAAAAATGGATCTCTCTAAAATGAAAATTATATGACCTTTTTCTTACACATATATATTAAAGTGAAATGGGTTTGTAAATTTTTTTTAAATCTTTTATTTATGTGTTTTGGCACAGGGTCTCACTATGCAGCTTGAACTCATAGTGCTCCTCCTGTCTCAGCTTCCCCAGTGCTGGGATTATAGACGTGCACCACCATGCCCAGTTTCGGGGCCAGCATGGCATGTGGTACCGGGTATCAAACCCAGGTCCTTGTGCTTGCCAAGCAGGCATTTAAACTGCCAAGCTATCTCTATGGCCCCCAAATAAATTCTTTAAAATTATATCATGCTTAAGTTTATCTTTTAGTATTTTATTATGCATTTCTTAGAATAAAAAGTAATGCCAAAAAGAAAAGAACAAAACAAAAAATGTAATGCCAACTAGGATAGGGAGTGTCTGCAAATAAGCGTAAGGGTTTCTTTTTAGAATAACCCTAGAACAGACCTGTAATGCCTGTTACATAATTGTATAAATTAACTGAAAGTTATTGGATCAAACATTTACAGTGGGTGATCTTTTGCTATTTTAAAAAGGCTTTTTTAGCCCGATGTGGTGGCACATGCTGTAATCCCAGCACCTGGGAGGCTGAAGCAAGCAGACTGCCATGATTTTGAGGCCAGCCTAGGCTGCACAGAGAAACCCTGGCTCAAAAACATCAAAAAAAGAAAAGAAAAGGGTTTTTTTTTTGAAAAAAGTTATTTATCTTAGACTACTAACATCTTAATAACAAAAAACAGCTGAGTTGAAGACTTCCCCTCAACTTGAAATATAAGATAAATGTTTATAAAACTAAGCATAGTTGTGCTACTGAGTCTTCTGTTACAAAAATCAAGAGGTTTTGGGGGATTTCTTTTTAAAGTGTGCATCACGTGTGTACATATGCATCTTCACAAGATCTCACATATAATTAATGTGACCCACTCACTCACCTCTTTCGGATTTTAGGCTTTACATCACAGGGATGTCATGAAACAAAAGGGGAAGAACAGCAAAGAATCTGAAGCTTTCTGGAATTAAGGAGCTGGATTAGGATTGAACTTTGGGATTGGGGATGTATCTCAGAGGCACAGCACTTGTCTAGCAGTGTATGAATCTCAGTATCAATCCTCATATTAAAAAAAAAAAAAACCTCAGACAATAGAAAAAAAGACTGAGTTTCAGAGTTTTTCTGGTACTAGGGATTGAACCGGAGGCCTGTACACGTAACTCTCTGAGACAAGGTCTTGCCAAGTTCCTAAACTGTCCAGTCTGGGCTTGAACTTGAGATCTTTCTGTCGTCTCACCCTGAAGTACTATGATTACACATGTGTCACTCGAGGCTACTTCAGCTCTTTCTTTGAAAACAAGTTTATTATTCTACATTTTTTCATTTAAAGTAGTAAGTTCGAAAATAACTTGAAAAAAATAATTACCTTAGCATTTCTCAGTTTTTCTCTTACTTTGCCTCTTAGTGTCTGTATGATGCTTTGATTTTCTTCTGCATCTAAATAAAGCAAGCAGCATACCAGAGCGTTCACAGTGGTTTCTTATAACTAAACAGCAGTGACAGCAAAAGCGCCTACGAGACACCTTACTTGACGCATTTCTGAGCATCATTACAATTCCAAACTCTAGGCCAGGGCCCCGTGAGAGCCTAGAATCCTCCCGTCATCTGACATACTTAAATCTATGGTGACTTCCCGCTCTTTCTGTGACTTCTTCAAGCGTGTTTTGCCACTTCCACAGTTGAGGGCCAGAGTGTTTCTCTGAGCACCTGATTTAAGCACTTAATATCACCTTGTGGAATCAGCATAATAACCTCACTCCTGCTTTGGCCAGTCCTCAAGAGGAAAGCTTGTGAGGCACACAGAAGGCCGCGGCTGCTGTGCGCACTCCAAGCAATGCATTGCTGTCTGCTTAGCACTGTAAGGACTCACTGGCTGAACCGAGAAAAAGAGGAAAGCCCTGGGTGCAGTAAAAGTAGGAAGAGTTGTGTCTAACCGTCCGTTTGCTTTGTATTTTGTTTTTTCCTTTCCTTACCTCTGAGTACTGAAAGTTTACATTGGTCAAAAAGAAGGGTGTAGGCAAGAATCCACATCACAGTAAGTAATGAAAATCTTTATGAGCATAACTATTGTGCTTCTTGGCACAATTTAAAAATTACAAGTTCATTTATTTATGCACTATGCCCAGTCTGAGAACGGCAGTCAGCAGATAAAAGATATTCAATTAATATTTTCTGGATAAACAAACCAGAATTCAACCATTATATTTTTCCCCAAGATTTAGATATTCTGTAGCCATAGGTTGTATCAAGCGCTAGTGGATTCTCCATGTTTGTAGAAAGAGAAAAATGGAAAATATGGAGCTCACTTCTACAACAGGCATTGATTTTTTTTGTATTTCTTTCTGTCTATCTTATATTACCTAAGCATCATGCCTTTAAAGATTTGTGCTCTTGGCTGAATCTCTACCGTAGGAGTAATCATTTATACCTTTTAAAAATAACAACCAAGAATACCATTGAAATATTCACTGAAAATATTCATTGAAAACCTTTTGAGAGATGCTTGCCTGTCACTTCTTCTGCTGCAATATTGTCCGTCTTTTCTGACATCTGTCCAAATAGAAAAGCAGGTTAACTTGCGTCTTCATTTTCTCCCTGAACGTCTTTCCATAAGCCCATCAGCTTTCCTACATTGCTTTTAAAATGCCAATTCCTATTTCCTGTTTCCTTAAATTTTAACTTCTACTAGTTTGTATATTTTGTCTTTACATATGGTAGACTTTTTAAATTAAGGAATTGCTCTCTGTCTTAGCAGAAAGGAACATGGTTAATTCTCCTTATTCATGTGTTACCTACTCGCTCATCACCTAATAGAGTCAAATGAGATCAGATGTATGAAAATCCTTTGAAAACATAGTAACATATCAGTGGTAGCTGGTACTTGGTTATCCTGTACTGTCTTATAATGTTGAGCATTTTTAGGAACCTTTCCATATCTTTCCCGTCTACTCTTCAATTTCTTATTCCTTATATTTTCCAATGATCCTGCTTGTTTCCTACAGACCAAAAATAGTCCTATTAAAACATTTTGGAGAGCACATGTACTCTTACAGTTCCTCAAATCTATTTCCAGTCTTGACTGTTCTTTTGAGCATTAAAGCCATATTTCTAGCTGCCTGCTGGTAATTCTAATTGAATATCTTATAATCTTTAAAAATTCAATGTGCTAAAATGAACATTTTTCCAATTTTAGAACCTCAATCGTCTAAGATAAACTGTTTTAGCAACATTAAATGCTTTTCAGAATGATATGCAGTATGAATTTAGCAAGCGATGTAATAGCAGAGGTTCTTGAAATAATAATTCTGCATGCTAACCAAACTATGGCGCAATGGAAAGGGCAAGGAGACCATCGCTTTACTATAAAATTAATAACATGATTCATGCCAAAAACCAAAGCAGATTATTAACATATTCATGATCAAAAACCTTGTCATAAAATCAGTCCAGGATATAAAATTTCTAAAAGAACTTCAAAATTCACTCGTGGATTTTGCACCACCTTTTAAAACTACCAAATAACACCAACATGAACTATGATGTTCCCTTAATTTCAACCTTCAACATCTTCCTCAAGACAAGCAAAATACATAACTCCATGGTCAGGTGTGGAATTACTATACAAAAATGTAAGAGAAAAGCTCTGTAACGTTGATCTGGAAGATGATTTTAGAGAGATGAATGCAAAGGCATAGACAACAAAATGAATGACAGACAAGTGAGGTTATATCACACTAAAATTCTTCTCTGTAATAAAGGAAGCTGGGCTGGAAAGACAGTTTGGTGGTCTAAGCCTCGCAAGTCAAGGACCTGGGTTGAATCCCTGGTACTACATGCTGCGCTGGCCCTGTGCTGAGCTGGCCACCAAAACCAGGTACGGTGGGACATGCCTGTAATTCCAGCACTGGGGAGACTGAAACAGGAGGATCACTATGAATCCAAGTTGCATAGTGAGAACCTGTACCAAATAAATAAAAGATTATTTTAAAGGAAGAAATCAACAAAGTGAATTAAAACAACCTACAGAATTGGGGAAAAAATGTTTGCAAAACATAAAATTGATAGGAAGTTAAAAGTTGAAAACACATGAAGAACTAAAAAATTCAATAGGATAAAATAAAATAATTAGCATAGGCCAATGATGTGAGAGATACGTTGCAATGGAAGATGCACAAGTGCCCAACAGATAAATGGAATCACGCTGCTGGGTGCGGTGGTGCTCACCTGCAACCCCAGCACTGGGCAGGGTGAGGCAGGAGAGCCGCTCGTTACTGTCCTGCTTGAGGAAGGCAGCAAGGCCTTGTCTCAAAATAGAAGACAATAGTGGGCTGGGGATGTAGCTCAGCGTGGAAGCCCCAGTACTGAGAGAAAAAAAGACAAAAAGACCACCCAAAGCCCCCACAACCTCCTAAGATTTCTTGAAAGAAAGCAGCAATATTCAATCATATGTCCAAGCTCACATAACTTTATCTGATAATCTGAGCAACAGATTTGATGATAAAAATAGATAATAGATCAGCCATAGTTAATCAGCTATTCTTGTTTTGAAAATCTGTAACATATACATTGTGGTACGTTACCCTGTTTCTGTCTTTGTTTTTGTTGTTTTTTTCTGTGTGTTTCTGTCTTTGTTTCTGATTTTTGTTCTTGCTTTTGTTTTTACTCTTCAAAATAAAATTATAGTAATAAAACCCCCATAACCTCATCAGAAAAATGTAATCATCAGAATCATTTTCTAATCATCAGAAAAATGTAAATGAAAACCACAATTGTGTATTGTTTCTCTCCAGTGTGAACATCTATTACCAAAAACAGAACAAGAGTTGGAGAAGACACGGAGAGAAGGCTTGCACAATGCTGGAAATCTAAATTAGGGCAATCATAATGGAAAAGAATATGAGTTTGATTTAAACATTAAAAATCGAGCATATGTATAATCCGGTAATCCTACTACTGGATACATATATAAAGTAGAAGAAATTGGAACCTCACAAGTACTTGCATTCCCACGTTTATTGAAGCGTTGCTCAAAATAGCCAAGATGTGGATACTATTTAGCCTTTAACAAGAAGAAAAGCCTGTCATTTGTGACAACACAAACAAGCCTTAAGGACATGATGGTGTTTTCTCTCTTTTATTATCATACGTCGGTAGTACACAAGGATTACCTTTGTTGTGGGGAGCTGGGCCATATCCATAACACATCATAGGTCTTTTCTTTTTCATCCCTTGCCACATCCCTCCCTCCCTGATCCTTCCAACTTTTGGTACCATTCCCATTTACAAAAGCTCTATTTCCACTTTATCTTCAACTCGTTGTTTCATCCCCTCTCACTCTTCATCCCTCCTCTCCTATCTCCTGTTCTGCTGCCCATTTGAGATTTTTCTACTTCCTATTACCCAGCTTTCGCTTTGCTCTTTATTTAGATTATGGGTTTCTCATACAAGGAAATTTAAATTCAGGTGTCCTATTTATTGCACTTCATATTACGATCTCAAGAAGCACCCATCTGCATAACAGCTTCTCGGTTTATCCTCCTTAGGAAGAGCAGCACTCCACTGTGTATACACACCTCACCTCCTTTATCCATCCATTTATTTGTAGCACACAGGCTGTCTTCAAGGTTAAGCTATTATAAATTGTGCCGCTCTGAGCATGGCTGCGCACGCATCACTGGTTTTTTTCAGAACCAGGGATCAAGCCTGGGCGCACACGTTTGCAGGCAGGCGCGCATGCCACAGGATGGTTTGAACTCTTTCAGAAAGCTACCTAGGCGGCTGGAGGATTTTGTAAAGCCCGTGCTCCTGACTAGATAAAATCGTAAGGTTTCTGAAAGGAAGCAGAGTATGATTTTAATGACCTCCAGGAAGGTAACTCTAGCCAATAATATTATGCCTCAATTATGTACAAGTTCTTTGCTCGCTGAAGAATCAGAACGTTTGCCAGAGAACACAAAAGCAACAGGATGCACACATACACTTTCTGCAGGAAAATACATCTCCTGATAAACTTCTGTGCGAAATACACATTAAAAATCCCTAAAACCCAATTAATACTTTACCCTTCTTAAACTATCTTCTCTTCTCTTTGAGACCTTTTTCATGATGGATTTTTCTTGTCCGTTTTCTAAACAGAAAAGAATGACACATCATGTCGCTTAAAGGCGACCATAATACTCAAGATAAAAGCACGGTGTAAAAAATTACTAATTCAACTAAGAACAACACAAATACTTTATCCTTTTTAGTTTTCAACATGTAGTATTTGCTCACTTGTAGTATAAAATAGAAATTCTGATCACCATAATAAGATATGCCACAGTGGGCTGGGGAGATAGCTCAGTGGAATAAGTGCTTGCCTGGCAAGCACAAGGTCCCGAGGTCAATCCCTGGTACCACAAAAAGAAAAAAAAAAAGATAGCAAAAGTAAGAGGCATAAAAAAAAGTAAGAGGCATAACTAAAAAGGAAGAGAACATAATCATCGTGTAGTAAGGTTGTTTTTTTTTCTTTTTGAAAATGAATACAATTTCTATTTCAAAAAATCAGTTTATATGAGGGCATTTCCAATTTCATATTTTAGTTGTCTTTTTAAAAACTGGTACATGTTTGAACACATCTTGGGGAGTGGGCACATGTCCATAATGAGCTTGATTCTTTTTTAAATCCCCTTCCCTCTTGCTTCCCTCGCTCTCCTCTACATTCCGTGACCCAATGTTGGTTCTTGCTGCTGTTATTAATCCTGTCTGAGGTTATGACATATAATGTTTACATTCATTTAGGTTATAGATTCCTGTACATGGCATGTACTTATTGTGTTTATTTAAATATGAACTGTGATTGAAAATACAGTGAATGTAAATAATTACAGTAAGAGACACATTGTTGTTGGTCCTCCTCAGGATGTCTTTGGCCCTAACTTTGCACACACATACGCATTATTCTTACCACTTTCTGAAGCCTTTCTGGAAGTCCTTTCTGTGAGTGTCTTTACTTGCTTTATGCTGGCTGCCTTGGTACCGTGCATGTAGTCAAAATATTCCCCTTTCATGGTCATTTTGACTTTGAGGGAGAGCAGATGTCACCCAGTGCCAAGTCTGGCGATTAAAGTGGATGAGAACACACTGTAATATTTTTACAAACTACCTTTATTTTGGATGGAACTTGCTAATAGCATTCGTTGCATTTGCGCCATATATACACACACGTATGAATGGCAGGCTCCCAGTGCATAATTCAGGCTCTCGTTGCATTCGCTCTGAGGCATAGACTAGCCTCGAACTCACAGCGAGCATCCCGCCCAGGTCTGAAGGCACGCGCTGCCACATCAGGCAACCATTCACTGCGGCTGTGATCATGCCTGAACTGACATGGAAGAGGACTTCCAGACCTGCTTCGGAAAGTAGGAAGAACTGTGGGAGTATTGAAACAAGGATTTTGAGGGGATGACATCAATGTGACTTTTATTGTGATACAATTTCTAAAATTTAAACAGTCACTGTATATTTGGTCATACCTCAAGTATGGGACTGCCAAGAATCCCAATAAAAAGTTTAGGTGTGATTAGAAAATTGTTAACTAGCAGAATAAAAGAATATGTGGGGAAGGGCCAGCCAAATAACTCAGGGGATTAAAGTGCCTGCAAGCAGGTGCAGGGGCTGGGGGTTCAATCCCTGGGCCTGCCCTGCTGGCTCCACCCCCAAAGCACGCTGAGACAGCAATTGGGACTGGGCGTGGTGGCACGCATCTGTAATCCCAGCATTTGGGAGACTGTAAACATGTAGATCACTACTAGCCCGGGGAGATGGCTCAGTAGAATAAGTGCTTGCCTGGCAAGTGCAAGGGCCTGAGTTCAATCCCTGGTTCTGAAAAAAAAAAAAAAAAAAAAGAATATATGGGAAAGCCCTGACATGGTGATATGCTAGGAAAAGATTACTTTTACAAAGCACTTTAAAGATTTTCTAAATGCCTAAGAATGACTTCATTTAAAATACACAGGAAAGGAAAAAATGGATTGCTTCAGTATACTTACTTTATGGAGGCAGTTAGATTAATTAAGAGGCCATTTTAACAGTCCTAATAAAAGCCCCTACAAGGGCAGTGACATAGCTCAGCAGACTAAGCGCCTGCCTAGGCAAGCCCAGAGACCGGGGTTCAATCCCAGGCACCACACGCTGGGAGACCCAGCGTCAGGCCGCATGCCTGTGATCCTAGCACTGGGGAGGCTGAAACAGGAGGGTCACTTTGAGTCCGAGCTGCATAGTGAGACCCTGTACCAAATATGACAAATAAATGAAGAAGTAAGTAAACAGAACTAGAGTTCTCATTATAAATACTGATGTGGGAATGGAGAGCAAGAACAGATATTTATGAGACACTCGGGTGAGTTGTCTGTAAGGTATTTCAAAGTTTTCATTAGATTTGGAACAGGAAACAAATAATCAAGCCTAAGATAAATTTGTTGTTTAATCAGTAAAAATATATGTAACAGTTTGGCTTAATGGCTCTAAAACTGTTCACACCCTTGAGATTCTTGTTTACTAACATTCCCAACTAGGCACAATAGGAATAAAATAGTGAAAAAAGTGAATTTCAAATTTTCTTTTCACTGAATTTCAAATTTTTCCCTGGCTTTTTAATGCCTATATCTATACATTTTGTTTAGTAGAGGAAAACAATAGCAGTTGCATATTGTATAGAGAAGAAAATCTTAAAGATTTATTATCAAGCAAAACATTATGGTACAAGAAAATGTATTATTTGTGAATGTTTCTAACCTGTTGATCTGTCGCTCCAAACAAGATAAATGATTGCAGACAAGATACTAGATCTTTTTAGAGCAATTCAACGTTTTGCCTCAGAAAACTAGCTCCAAAAGTGAAGCATCATCTACTTTCTGAAGATATTACTGATTTGTAATTCTTGCAGTTCAAGCTTTTCCTAAAGGGTGAGTAAATTAAAGAGGAACTGTTTGTATCAGTCGGCCCCGGAGCGGCCCAGCACAGCGCGGACAGTCGCCGCAGCTCGCCACCGAGCTCCTCCCGTGCGGCGGCCGCCGGCGGCGCTGGCTGTTGTCCGGAGCGCGGCGGGCGCGAGCGAGCAGGGTCGGTTAGGGCGGCGGCGGGGGCTGGAGC